CGTCTGCCTTTGTTTGGATAATAAGGAAAAATTTTGTGATTTTATCATATCTGAATACATTAATCTGTAATCCAGTTCGTTGTTCTATTTTTGGTATATCTTTAAGTTCTACTGGAAATTTGATATCTTTAAAAGCATTGTCAATGTCGTCCTTAAGGTTAATGTATTTAGAAACTCTTTCAGCGTCTCCAAGCATTGGATGTAAGTAAGCCTTCAAACAGTATAAGAAGCACTTATCGTCTTTATTCTTAATGTTCACCACTGCTTTTTTGTGTTTGATTTTATCAGGTAATTCGAAATATGAGTTGCCGCTAATTGGTACGTACTTGTTTAATCTTAATTCAAAACTCTTAATTCGGTGGAGTGTCCAACCAGAACCTCTACCTTGGAACTCGCACATTTCTCTTTGTAATTTATTTTTAGCGTTAATCATAAAATCGTGTAAATTGTCGAGTTGTAGTACGATTTGATTTTCTGTCTTAAAGTTGAACTCATGAATATCATCTTTTTTGTAATCACATAGCAATTTGACATTTTCATTGCATTGTTTCTTCTAAGACTGCTTTCAATATTTTTAATTACAGCTGGTGTTATTCTCTTTAAAAACGAAAGTATTGGATTAGTACCTAATTTAATATCTTTCTGTTCAAATATCCAAGTTTCAAGTCGGCTTTGGAATGCTGTATCTGTTTTTTGCACATTTAGTTGATCTCTTACTTGGGGGGTTGTGAAAAGTTCTTGATCATCGGTAGTGGTAAAGGGCAATTGTTTAATCGGTAGTTGTTTGATTTCTTCTTTAATGGTGGATCTAATGAGTTTATCTCGATTCAAATTCGAATAACCCTTAATCTTGTTCTTTTTACAGTGGTGTTTTAATTGGTCAAGTTTCAATGAGAAAATATCTCTTAATTCTGCTGGTGTGTCTTGGTATCGTTTTAATCTTTTGATTAGTTTGTTCTTAGTTAAAGAACTACAGCCACGGATCTTTTTGGCTTTTCATATTTGCTTAAGTCGACTATCCGGCAGTTCGTTCATCATCTCAACTGTATATATATTAATATCCATTTATACTTATCAATATTTATCTTAAAAGAAAAAAAATATTCATTTTCGGTATTTAATTCATTTTCGTTGATTTTAATCAATTTGTTTTATTTGTATGTTATGTAGTGACAGATGATCAGAACAGCTACTTGCGCAAACTCAATTTGGTTACTGATTGTGACTAAATTCATTGGGAGAGCGAGGTGCGCCAGAATATACAAATGTTATCTATTAGTGTCTGTATTTAATTTTCGAATTTTTAACTTTTACACAATTTTTATCATCTCTAATTTCATTTGTAAAAAGTATAGACCTTCCAATTAGTTGTCTTTCGGCGCTTTTGACTATTATAGAAGTGCCAATTCTCTACATAACTCGGATGGCCGAAGTGGTTAAATGTCGAGTTCAACATCAGCGTTTCTTGGAGAGGGCGCTGTTACAAGGCTGGCTCAGGAATAATTATTTGCTACAATTGTCAGTTGCTTTTAACCAGCAAAATTATGTACTGCGTCGAGTTAAGTCCGGTGAGCTGTGATATGTTTTCCCGATCATTTCACAGACGCGTCAGTCACGCGCCATTTCTGGTCACAAAGGACTTGGCAGGAAGTAACCACATCCTTCCATATAAGGAGATTTCTTAGGCGCTCGAGAACAACCTCGGAGCCGGCGAACAAACATCCGCCGGAATGACGCCATCCCTCTCTCCAATCCCTGTTAGTTGACAAAAGGGTCGGAAGACTAGGGCTCGGCCTCTATTGCACCTCCAACCACCAAATACGAGGAGCAGGATGCTCTAATTTACGCATCCTTTGGACCGCTGATGGACGCCATCATGATCGTCTTCACACTGGTATGGAAGTTGTGGCACACCCGCCACACGGGAGAACCGTAACCGGATTGGAAGGACAATTCTTATTCTACTTTATATAGTCATTTACTTAGTTCTTAACTTAATGTAATTCATATCAATTTCAATAACTTCAGTAAGATCAATTAAGTTGCTTTAAAAGAACCTATATAATATTTTAACAATTTCTGGCTAAATGAGTAAATAAATAACTTTAAGATGGTGTGTTAAAACAATTATTTTTGTTGTATGATTGCATTCCTGTGTAAGACCTTCCTTGCTAAGAGTTAGGTTGTACCGCTCCCAGGTAGCCTCCTCTCACGCTTAGCGAGTTGCCAAGTGAGTCTGTGTTACGCTCACCTAATGGTATGAGCAACGTAGTCTGAATTCTCTGTGTAGTCATTCGTGGCCGCATATGAGTATGTCAGTCTCCTTCATGAAAGTCGTCGAGTTAATTGTTGCCAACCAAGACAAAGCTCTTATGACTATTAAAGGAGTACCTAATCCATGTACGACTCCAGTGGCCGAGGTTGGTTAAATAATGTGTATTGTCTCTGTGGTTCAGAGGCAAGGCTGTCGTCGAGCCTCGCTCATCCCTGAGCTTAATCCCACATTTTCTCCGCTCGTTATTTGTCGCAATTCTGTGTTGCCGAACAAAACTATTGAAAATTGCAGAAACTAAATTGAAAATTATTTGAAGCGCTTCTACTAACAATTACAATCAATTAAGATAAATAAAATTCCAAGTATGTATGCTATTTTCGAATTTGCATCTTTTAACCCACTTTCACATTTTCTCCGCTCTACAATGGTAGAACTGAAACAGTTTTATCTTGCGTAATATGGAAGTATATTCATTATGTCTTTCTAGATGGCCGAGGTTGTTAAGGCGCAAGTTCGGGGTCATCAAGAGATTGCTGGTTCGCGTCCGAACCGCGCATTTTAATTTGATGAAAGTGTTGTAGAAAACTACTAGGGATTCGAGAAACTTGATTGAAAATCATTTAAAGCTTTTCTGCCCACAAATGCATTCATTGCATGTACGACTATACCACACGTCTCTATACATGCTTTTGCACTTTCTAACGTTTAAATAATTTTTCAACTTTCTTTTGCGATTTGTAAAACGTATGTCACATCAAATTAATTGAGTTTCTATGCATCTGTATAAACTAGTTTAAGAAACTAATGAAAATGACATTAAATTTAAATTCATTATGATCACTAGCCATGGGAACAACTTAGATATCTCTAACGGTTAAGAAATTGTTATTACTTTTTCGTCTTACAAATTCTTCGTAAAAAAGAAAGTTATCGTGCGCCAGAACACGCCGAAATTTCGCCAGAGTAAACTTCATTGCCGAGTTATGGTATTATAAAAGTGGATAAATCTCCTTGCTAAATTTAGAAAAAAATCTCTTACTCGTGCTGTAGCTAGAATGTCTGTCTGTGGTGAACGCTAGCGCCTAAACTGTTTAGTTGATTTTCTTCAAAATTGATTTACCTTGATTGATCGTAATGGACTGGAGACTATGGGAGTTTCTAACGGAAATTTTGATTGTGGAAGGTTTTGTGTACATAAATCAGGCATTTACCTCTTTATACTTTGCTTATACCTTAGAGTGCGATGCATGCGGTGCCGACACGTTAACTCTGAGGATCCCGAGTTCGGGTCTCGGAGCGGTAAAATAACTGTGCTTTGATAACACTTCTGGTGGTTATGAAGAAGTGTAATATTGCGGATCTTTTAGAAATAATGCGAGAAAGTTGGAAGTACCACTAGCTTGAAAATTATATTCTTTATCAAGCCATATTGCTGGCAAAATGTGCAATTTAAAAAAATTCAAAACAATATTTTCTCAAAAACTACTCAAAATTTGTTCTTTAAAATTTTCGTATTGAGGGTACTAAATGCACTTTATAAAGTGACGTAAACCACATATTGCTATATTCTTTTGTTTTTCAAAAATTATAAAAGTGTTATTATTTTGACTTGCCTCTCACGTCATTAATATTTACATTAGCGGTAATTTGTTTCCATGAATGTATTTAGGAGTTCTGGTATTTTAATTAGTATCAGATAAAATTTCGCGAAAAATCACTGCGAAAATGAGTTCAAAATTCCGCATTATCAGAAAAGATCAAGCACCATGCACCAAAAATTGCTCCAAATTTTTCTATAAACTTCTCCAACATGTAGTGGTAATTTCACTGTTCAAAATGACAGAATTAATTTTGCTGTTCTCATTTCCTTTTTTTTAATTACACAAATGTATATTTTTAAATATATCTCTCGCATTTAATATGCATATTTCCAGCAATTTGTAAACACTAATGTATTTGTGACGGGAAGTGCTTCAAATGCCGTCAGATGAATTTTTCCGAAAACTCAATAGTTTTCTGTGAAAAGATCTTCAAAATTCGAATGTATAGTAGCGTTTAAACACAATTTTCTTAAAACCTGCTCCCAATTTTTCAAAGAATATTGCTATTTAGTGCGTGATTTTCCTATTCTTTAATATTCTTAATAGCTTTTTGGTTCATCTATTAGAAAATTGAACAATTATGAAAATGTCAAATAATGTGTTGTGGATGGCAAGTTCGAATTGCATTGTCTATTGTACGGATAATGATAATTACACTGTTTAAAATTGTGATTTTAAATGAAGTTTTTTTGAAAACTGAAAGGTTCGTTTGAAATGGAGCTCCAAATTTCGCATTTACAGTAACACTTAAAAGTCATTTTCTTAAAAATGGCTGCAAATTTGCAATGAAAATTGCCATAAAAGACGAGGTTTTAATCTTCTTTAACCTTATAAAAGTAATATTTCGAATCTTTTAGGAAAGCAAAAAATTAAGAAAACTTAATAACATTTATTAAGGGTGGCGATAGATGGCAGCTTGCAAGTTCGGGGAAGACCATAAAGTTAGCCCACGCCAAGAAAATTACGTTACTACGAGAAAATCTGTGCCATTGTGTTGCATCACTAGTTCCCTTCGTCATGCAGTAACTCGAAAAGTAAAGAGAAGTACCTATAGGACACCACAATGTGTCCACGCGAAGGAAAAGACGAACTAGAAAGTTGGGAGTAGGCGGTAGCTTATTAACCTGTAGATCCGGTGGCTCGCGGGTGTTGGTCGCCGCCGGCGCCGCCGCCACCGCCGGTTGCCGACGAACGCAAATTTTGTGGAGCTGGGCGAGGAGCTCCGCCCAGTCGCCGGAGGCCCAAGCGCCGCCGCCGCCGCTACCTACGCCGCGAGGACATCATTATTGAGGGTCGCCGAAGTCCCAATAAAAGTGGCCGCGGGTCTGAACGAGCCGTGTCGCTGCTGAAAGGGGTCTCATATTGCCGAATGAAAGGAAGTTCTCTTTTGGTGTTTGGAGGGATTTTTATGGAACAGAAATGCTTTTGAATTAGACGTGCAATTACCTGTCTCACTATATTACCTTCAGAAGTTCATTTTATTGTTAAAAGGAGTCGTTACTACTGCAGTTTGCGTTTTTATCAATTAAAACAAAGTGTTTTAATCGGGTAAGTTGATCATGCCCTATTGACATATGAATTCCAAAATCACGCTGTCCACAAATCCTTATTTTGACGCTCGATGAGTACAAATATCTTTAAAATCGTCTTGTCATAATTTTCTACACGAGTTCGAACACTACGAAATTCTCATTTTCAATTGTGTATTTTTTTCTGTACAAGTAAACTATCAAGGTAATTTCTAAAGATATAGAAAAATAACATTTCATCTTAAAACTTCGATATGCTATTTTAAAATCGTATACTTCTTTACTTATTTTACTTATTTTATTTACTTTATTCTTATACTTCTCGTGCTATTTTAAAATCAAGGCTTCTTGTTCGATGTGATAATTTATTCGTTGATTTAGAAGTGTGTCATGCTGTTTTTCTAAATTTTGGAGAATTTGATTTGATTGTAATCCCAACTGTTCTCAATATTACTTCTGAACGACGGAGGATGACATCTAGCAAATACAATGTATTGTTTTGTATTTACGAGCTGATAATACCAGAAACCATCTATTTTTCTGTAATAAAAGAAAATTATGTTATTTATCGAGATACGAGTGATGATCATAAATGACTCTTATGACATCATCGTGAATTATTACCGTAAATAAACTCCCTTGATTGCAACATCATATCTTTTATTTGTGTTTTTTTTTCAAAATTAATCTTATTACTTATAGATTTTGTGTCCCATTTTTGTAATAAAGAATTATTAACCACTTAAACACAATACAAAGCCAGTTTTGATATTGTACGACAAAAACAAGTGTATGCTCCCTGTGGCTGATAGTAATAATATCCCAACCATTTTTAATAGTTTTATTCTCTTATTTTATTTGTTCATTAAGCGCACATTATAAGCATTAAAAACCGATGTATAGCTGAAAAAATCCAAGTCAACACAGAAAATATCACTCAGAAAACCTATTGGAGTTGTAAATGCTTTTAGAAGCGCTTGTGCACACAAGAAACTTTACGATTAACAATTTGAAGCATTTCATGATTGTTGAAACTATTATTCTACTACAATCATTTGAATCTAGAAATTATGAAATTAATATACCGATAAAGTATTAAAAGGAAATTGCAAATCATCATTAAACTACATAATACAGAACACTAACGAAGTCGTTAATTCATTTCATTCTGTGTTAAAAGTAACTGAAATACAACTTACTGAAATGTAAGTGATATTTCGACACCGTGAGAAAGCAGAATTGAAATTATCAGTAAACTGCAAAAATGACTAAACCCGAATCTTGAAAGCGGAGCATTTTCGTTTGATCTCCTTAGTTTTGATTCATATTTGTTTTTATTTACACAATTGCTAACATTTTCATACATAATAGTTGCTTCGAAATGGAAGGAAGGAGAGTGTGCTACAGACGCGCAGTTACCTTGCGCGTAGGCGCAACCAGCGTCGCCCTCCAGCGCCACCTCTTCGCCACCGCCGCCGCCAGGCCGCACGCTGATATGAAACGTGGGCCCCGACTGCTCTGCCAGCGCCACGGGCTCCGGGCCGTCGCTCCTGCGGCACATCACGCACACACGAATTAAATTAGTCCACAAAATATCATAAAGGATAATCTATCATTGTCATATGGTTGATTATTTCGTCGTTCTAAGCGCGTCATCTGCTAAGATAATCAGTCCCGTAAGTGTAATGCATGTTTTTATCGCAGGAGGTGGTTGTGATTTTCTCCCGCTGCATGTGAGATCCGGCGATCGACTTGCGGGATTTTCCCCAACCAGGTACCGCCTACCAGCGGGTCACCGCCTCTGTCGTGATAAACTCTGAAGTTTCCGGCTGGTCCCCTCTCTCTCCGTCTTTCTCTCTTGTCACTGTCTCAGTGTCTGACTCTGTGTCTCTGTATCTCTCTCTCTCTCTCTGTAAGTCTCTGCCCTTCTCTCTCACTCTCTCACTCTATGGCTACTCATGCTATGCCTCCCTTTTTCCGTCTCTCTGTGTCTCTCCGTATCTCTCTGTGTCGCTTCGACCTCGGCAACGCTCAGCAACTGACAACAATGACAAATCTCCGGTAAGTCTTACGTCAGTGGACTTCATCTAGTTACATTAAGCAACTGAATGGGAAATCAGAAAATGGATTAATGATATCCCAACACGGGTTCAGGAGTGTTTTTTTTCATTTGTTGCCTCTATACACGCATCGCGTCTCCTAGCTCCTAACAGTGTTGAGCGCACCGTGGAATAATCCTCTGTTTTTAGGGCACGTTTACGTTAGAGCTGCGATAAACGATGAGAGCAGCGCTAAGAGCGAAGCAACGAGAACGTCACCATGTAATCAAATGGAGGTGTTCATGTCGGCAGCGCGATGAACACGGGATCAGCGCTGCGACCCGCGATAAGAGCGGAGAAAAGAAAACCCTTTGGTAGGTTTTCACTGCTATCGCTGCTCCGCGCTGTTCACAGCTGACATACTTCAGGTGTTGTAAGTGTCGAATAAAATAAATGATAAGAAATTTATCATTTGTGTTTTTGTTAGGAGTCAATTGTGGGACAAAAGAGACTTGAATCACCGCAATATGTTCGTTTTAGACAAATTGTGGGCCACCTAAATTAGTACACCACGTAAGTTTTAGAGGTTAGATTACATTCGTTTTCAATGAACAACAAAAATACAAATAATTATTGTATGACTGTCATGTTTATTGTTGTATTGTGTTGTGGAAAACTAAATATTAACGTAAGTGAAGCACAAAATCATCTGGCAGTGATGATGTATTATTCCGAGTTATTTTTGTAATGTAGATACTCAGAAGGTCCCCCCCGCTATTATTTTATTTGCCGTAACTACACACTTCATCTGAAAAAGAATTTGTAATTTGCATTCAGAACACCTTATAAAACTAGAAAAGAATGTCTTGTAATTGTAAGACATTCTTTCAGATTGATTGGGATGATTAATTCTTATATGCTTTCTATCCATGGCACCTTCACAATGTGGGTGCATTTCAAGGAGGCATAATTATAACAGAAATTGTAAAATGAATTTATTTTTATTATTTTAAATGTTATTAAACAATTGTGAATGTTTTATCAGTGAATAAACAGAAGAACCATAGAAGTAAAACGAAATGCCAGAAACAGATTTTTTGGGAGAGAGTTGTGTTAATTTAACCCTCGAGTATGTGTTTCGTAAAAAAACTTTGTATGGTATTATAAAGATAGATGGGGAGACCTATTATGCATAATTTATACAGTAGATCCAGTTGCCATACATCCTTGAAAGCTTTAGAAAAATTAATAAAGTGTGCTGTTTGATAATTAAATTTGTTCAAATAATTGGTTGCTTCGACCATGTACTGTTTGATTAACTTCCTTTCCTAAAAATAAGAATTTTGCGGGCGAAATCCCTGCCGGCATATTTCACGATGGAGGTCACCTTATATAAGTGCCACCCTCGCTGTTGCGTCGCATCGGCCGTCCCGTGCAGCGTCTCCTCACCTGCTGTTGGAGCGCGCTCCGCCGCGCACGCGCGGGTACAAGTTGAGGTGCACCACCATGTGCGCGGGCGCGGGCGCGGGCGCAGCAGGGTGCGGGCGCGGCCCGCGCGCGGGGATATTGGCGGCCGCCGCGGCCGCGTACTCTGCGGGCGGCATTGGATAGATGTCCAGCATCAAACTGAAATAGGAACGGACTCTGACAAACTTTCAAGAATTTCAGTGTGACCATGCAATTACATTTACGTGAAAAGTTTAGTCGTTTTCACGCAATATTGAGTGCAATATTTGCAATTAAAAAAACAAAAAACAAGATTTCCTCAAAAACGGCGGCAATTTTTTTCTTTAAACGTTTGGTAGGTATAGTGCTAAATTCACTCTATAAGATGGCATAAATGCAATATTGCCGTATTCTTTATTTTTTTCTTTTCTAAAATACCAAATTTAATTTATTTTACTTGTCTCTCACTTTGTTAATATTTACATTAGCGGCGATGTGTTTCCAATATGAGTACATTGAGATATACGTGCTTTGAGTAATATGAGTACAGTTCAATATATGAGTAAATATACTTTAAATAATTTCTTGTTCGTAATTAAACTTCATGAAGATGTCAGGTGTGACATGGGAAAATATTGCCCGGTTTCAAGTTGCGGATACTGTAGTTAAAAAGTGAAAAGGTCCTAAGAGGAGAACTAGATCCTAATGATGCAGACGCACGACGGTGGGCGGCCTAGCTTTTAAAATGAAAACTGGTATTACATGGCATAATTTGGCTGGTACATAATACATTAGCTCATTTTGGGACCAAGAAAGTAAATAATAGACAGATGTTATTAGAAGGGGAGAAAAACAAAAGTCAAGCTATTTAAATGTGCTATTTGCCAGAAGAGTAAGTATCATAACAGGTATTTCTCGGGTTCGCTTGAGGCTTAAGGAAGCGTGCGTTATGTAAACAATTTAACGATTTGAAAGAAGAGAGCACGTGCATAAAACATACTTTAAATGTATACTGGATTGTTCTTTCTTTGTTACTTTATTTGGTTATAGAACTAGCTATTCTATTACATTACTTTGATTAATTTCTCTTCCCTTTTGTACATCAACGTAATTTGGAGAGGGAATATTTGGACTGCGAGACAGGCGAGGAAGCAGTGAAGCTAATCGGGCGCGTTACTGCAGAACTGGGGCCGCAACTGGAGGCGAAGCGATTGAAGTTCAAAGGGGCGAATGCAGAACGGCGACAATCCCCTGGTGATTGAATGTATGATTCCGAACGTCTCACAACTCTGCGGTCAGAATCAAGTAAGAACAAAGTTACACTTTGTCAGTATAGGAAAGTAGTAGTTGTGAGCAGCACTTGATATAGTAAATTAGTTTAAGGAGAGATGTTCTATTGGTACAGAAAATATTCACCTTAATCGTGTTTGTCAAACTTGTAAATTTAGAAGAAAGTTACTATTTAAAAAAATCTTTAAATCTAAAAAAAATCTTACTTATTGTATCGTTGTAACTGCCAGAAGATAACTTAATCATTGAAAATATGTGCAGTAAATAAGTAAGCATGTAAGGAGGGGTTTTCTTCCAGGAAAGATTTAATTTAAAAGTTCTGGGTATATTATTAGTTTGTAAATGTGAGAGGAGGAGTTGAATGAGATAACAATATGTTTTGTTTAAAAGCAAACTGTTTTAATTTGAATGAACGTGAGAATCCTATGACTGCAGAGCAATAACAGCCCTGGGATCCCCAGAAATACTTTATATATACATAATACATACACATATATACATACATACATAATTAAACATATGGTCAACTGTTCCAACTGACTGAGCTAGCTTATCGAAGGGTGAAATTACCTCTCATCCCAATGGTTGGTCATAATATATATTATGTAACAAAACTGTGTTAAATCTAACGGTTTATTACGTTGCTATTTCACTGTTGTCCAGAATGTTGATTGCCAAGTGATTAGGGTGAGTACGTCTTGATATTTTCTGCTGAAGTTGGTAAGTTTTGTACATAGTTGGAACCTGTAAGTCATTATGCAGAGCTTTATTAGAAATGTACCATGGTACATTAGGTAGAATCCTGAGGATTTTGTGCAATATAATGACTGTACTGTAATCTTTGTAGGATCGATTTCTATATTGGATTGACTGGCAGTGCCCCATAGTTGGATGCCATAAGTACATATTGGCTTAAAGATGGCTTTGTGTGTATTTATTTTATTTCGGTGGGAGAGAGGGGAGTTTCTACTCATTATCCAGTAAAGTTTATAGAAATTTTTATTTAGTAATTTTCTCTTTGTTTCAATATGCGTTTCCATGAGGTCTACGTGCATGCTCAAGTATTTGTTTTCAGCTTGTGGTAGGTACGTATTATTCATTTTAGTGACAGTTATTGTTTCTTAGAGTGAATGTTACTTGAACAGATATTGATTCGCTTGGTTTTAAACGCGAGGTATTGAACCAGGATGATATTTTATTGAGGTGATTATTCAGTTTTTGATGCTTTTTTGGATCGTGGTGATATACCATGACTGCAGTATCGTCCAAATTGCAGTCATGATGCCATCTGGTTCCGTAAGATCAGCTGTAAATAGAAGATACGAAGGTTGCCTTTTATGTTTCGGGATATGGCAACCCTGGTGTTGCAATCTGGCAACTGACAGCTCTATCGTAAAGTGGAATGTTTTGAGGTTATACGTACTCAGAACGTTTTGACATACAAGCGCTATTTGTGTTGTTTACAGTAACGTAAAATATTCATCTTGGCCCAAAAATGGAATTAAATCGTGAACATTTTCGTGCGATTATTATTTACAACTTTCGACGTGGATTAACTCAGCAACAGTGCGTGGATGAACTGAATTCAATTTTTGGCGATGAAGCTCCATCAAGGACCGATGGTATGGAGAATTCAATCGTGGTCGCAGTTCACTCCGAGACAAATTTCGCGAAGGTCGTCCAAAATCAGGTGTTGTTCCGAAAACCAACAAAAATCAAAAACATCGGCTCAAACAACTTCATTTTTGAGCACCCATAACATCGATTTGATGAGTCATCCGCCGTAGAGTCCTGACGTGGCACACAATGACTTCTTTTTATTCCCGTACGTAAAAAACAAACTGATATCAACGTTTTTCGACACCTGAAGAAACGGTTGCTGCATTCAGAATGCATGTTTTCGAGATACCTCAGTCAGAGTGGCAAAAGTGCTTCGACAATTGGTTCAAACGCATGTAAAAGTGAATAGATGTTCATAGGAAATATTTTGAATAACAATAAAGTGATTTTCGATGACTAATATTTGTTTTTGTTCTCTAATCATGAAATATAAAAGGCAACCCTTGTCGGGTATGGATTTCCTTATGGAGCTTCGGAATTCATTGAATGGAGAGTAGTGATGTCATTGTGAAGTTTTACTTGAAAATGCCTGTCTGTTAAGTAGGAATTGAATAATACATGCAATTGATGATGTAGAAGTTTCTTGATTTTGTACAGAATCCCTGGATGCCATACTTTATAGAAAGCTTGTCTGACGTCTACAAAAGCAGCAGAACAATATTATTTTTCTTCTAATGCTTTATTAGTTGCATCGACTACTCTTTGTACACCTGTTCTATTGTGGAACGCTTTTTGTGGATGCCAAATTGGTGACCAGGAATAAGTTCATATTCATCCAGGATCGATCTTAATCTCTTTAGCATTAGTTTCCGTCAATTGTCTGACATGAGAGGAAGTAGGTTAATATTACTATATCTTGTAGTTTCGTGTGCAGGCGTACTAGGTTTAGGAATGTTGATGATTTGGAATATTTTCCACTGTGAGGGGAATTACCTATTCTGAGAACTGCATTTTGTATTAGGTGGACAGGGCAATAGCTTTCTTGAGCAGGTTCTTAAATACACCTGTTATCAGATCACAACCAGGGGATTTCTTCAAGGGAAGATACTGTATTTTTTAAAATTTCTTTTGTTGAGAAATGATGGATGAGTGGTGACAACTGATACGGTGTTTCCAGTTTATTAGTGCTTTTTGTCTCACAAGTTTGCTGCTGCTGAGTCACTACGAATGAGATGGAAGGCCTTTGCTAAGTTTCCGGGAAAGATATCTGATTTTTATTTGTCGTTTTCGCCATCTGCCATAGCTCTGACAAACGCCACAACACGATGGCCGAAACGTCAGCTCAGTTGACTGAAACGTGGCTCAAACACGGACGCGGTTCAGCCAAGTATCCAACGACTACGGCCGCGAAAGGCTACAAATACTGTAACACCTCCCGGCGTAGGGAAACGCGCGGTTAGCGGCCCGGTTCTAGCTCAGTCGGTCCTA